ACGCAGACCGACCCGCACTGACCCAAACTGACGCAGACCGACCCGGACTGACCCGGACTGACCCGGACTGACCCGGACTGGCCCGGACTGACCCGGACTGATAATCAATGTAGTTTAGCGTGTTAAACGTTGATTAACAATTACCAAAGATTAAATTGATTAGATAAAGTCTTTGTACATTTGAAAGTTAAGTATATTTAATGTAAAAGTTTGCATTTTAGTGTCAAATGTACAAAGTCGTGATTCAATTATATTAAATTTTGACCAGGGCAGATCCTGGACCTTTGACCAGGACCTCCCCAGAAATGTTTATCATGGAAATAGAATAGCAGTTTTTGAAAATTTTAGTTAGCCTTGATTTTGCAAAAAGAAAAGTCCAGGCTGATATCTTTAACAGTTCTTTCCGTATGAAACTTTCTATATAATTGATCATTTTAAAACCTCCTTTGAGTCTTCGTGATAAAAAAATTAAGTCGGAAAAGAAATGTTCTCTTTAGCATCTGCTTCAAATCTCGCCTTTCTTCAAATTTTTTTGTTTTCTTTGAAAATAGATCGACTGAGTCTTTCTGTAGACTATATCTTTTCTATTATATCTCTTTCTTGCAAGCAATTAGGTTATTTTCAATTGCCACTATTAAAACAAGATGCTTCGCTCAAAACAAACCGGTGCAGCTGCAAGTCCAAGGAGAAGCAGGGTTTTCTAATGCGTTGTTTTGGAAATAGCAAGACAATTTGAGAGCGTTCCTAGGCGGCGGTGCCCAGCAAAACACTCAAATGGTTATTGTCACAAGAGCCGATTTTATTGATAAGGAGCCCTTCTGAGTCTACCATAGTGACAAGCTCGACAGATTGGCTTTCACGGACTCATTGTCAAAGGGAGGCAGAGACGGCAGAATATTCGTTTTGTTAAGATGGGATTTCTGTCACGATTCTTTGGGGATTCGTTTCACAATTCAGCTGAGAAGGGCTTGGCTTTGCAAAATTGTTTTGAATACAATGAGAAGAACGAGCAATGAAAATTCTCAAAGGCTAAGGAAATCGAGAAATAAGCGGGATTTCAAGTGAATAATTAGATAGGGTTGAATCAAACATAGGCTACCGCTAACAAAAAGCTTGAATAAGAAGATCCTTGAATTCAACTCGGTGCACTTACATTTTCATAAACATTTTAAGGAAATCGTCTTTCTTCACAAAATAGTTGCAAATATTGCGCGCTTTCCATGCAATATGTAAGCGCATTTCTACCCGAAACAAGAAAATAAACAGTGCATATTTGACTGGAACAGCCCTTTATTTTCTCATAGGTTAATGAAAAAATGGAAGAATGCCAAGTAAACGAAACTAGCTTTAGTACGATACCATTCTAATAATTGAGCTTTTCGGTTATTTAAACTTTTTGCAATTCTCAACAGGCTTTTAAATTTTATATTTGCGAAAAAATCTACATTTTCTTTCGCGATTAACTTTCATTATTGATTATGAATCGAAGTGATTATAAACTGTTTTTGGGCCTAATGTTGAAAGTGATAAGATACCTCAAAATCAAGTTGAAACAGTGCTGAATGTTGGTGTATGCTGCCCCCATTACGGTATAATCAGTCAGCGATGTCTTCACGTTATCAAATTTATGAAAAAGTTTTAAACTCAATGTTATGGTCATTGTAAGGGAGGATTCCTGCCCAAAGCTACAAGCTTCCACAAGAATGTATATCCAGACAGAAGCTAGCTTCATTCTATCCTCCTAAAGCCGGCTGTTGCTTTAAAGGATAGGATTATTCAATCATTCTTGTTAAAGGTTCAGCTTCCTTCTGTCTAACCTCATTTTCACATTCTATAAAGAAGACGATCATTGTGAAAACAAAAAATGAATTATCTCGCATCCCCTAATCTTGATTCAGCATGATTTTTTAGAAATCAAGTTCTAAATATGCAGTTTCAAATTTCGACAATAAGTTCTTGCAGAGCGACCCTGTAAACAATTTCTAGAGTGGGAACTTTGAGACATGATTGTCTCGCTACTGCCAAATTAACTTATGGTTACTGCTTAAATTTATGCTTTAAGTTGCAGTCACATAGTATTTAGACTGGAATAACCGAAACAGTTGAGTTAACAAACATTTGAAGTCACATTCACTTATCTCCCGTTCGTTTTTTATTCATTTTATTTAATGTTGGTTTATGCAATAATAGCTAATAAACACCTGTAACATGTGTAACAATTATAATATATACAAGATAAATGTAATGCTTGCATGCTTGTCATATATCACTGAAAAACACCACAGAAAAACATGACCACTACAATGCCTGCCAAAGCAGTTGGAATATTCAGCAATTTACGCTGCATTTGATATCTTTCATTCTTTTCCGACAAAAAATTGCTACTTCCGCCCCCTTCCCTCCTAAAACAATGTTGATAATTTAGAGAAATATCTATTTTAGAAGCAAAGGAAAGTGCTTTCTAATATCCTAACCCGTTTGATAGTAAACCAACATTGGTCCGTGGGGAGAGGGGGATTTGACCTTTTTGAAAAATGACGTAAATGTTTACAAGACTTTTGGCAGGCATTGTATGGCTGATATAACTCACAGTTTTTTG